CCACCTGAGGTAAAGAGTTGTCTTGACGGGTTGAGCACACCACTCCTGTTGAACTCTCGTGGATGCCAGTTTCCAAAACAGCTGCGACCTGTAGTCAAAGAGTAGCATTCTCTTTTGGACTGTGACCGGGGTGACTGAAATTCGCTGCTCTGGGCAAAGCTTGAGACCCTGGGCGTCAAACACAGCAGGGAAGAAGAGCGTCAGGAGGCACGTACAAGATGATAGCATTGAAATTGTGCTGCCAAAGTGGCACAGGATGCTTGGCTTGATCTTGGTCAGGTCTTCCACTGTCTCGTCCAAGAGCACCACCTTTCCAATTGTCACGAGCAAGCACAGTCCATCGTTTCGGGGATCTATCTCAGTCGTCCCCGTCGTCGACCTTGTTGTTGCTGTCGTTGTTGTTGATTCTCTAGAAAAGAAGAGCTCCTGCAAAAGAGCTGCCTCCTCCTCAGCTTCTTTTTCGTCGTCATTCCCGAGACCGAGTAGTCGAGAATTATCATCGCCCGCACCAGCGCCAGCAAGAATAAGGTCCACCTCCAAGCTTGCATCCTTCTGGGAAGACCTCTCGATCGACTTAACGGACTCGCGATGCCGGCTGGAGGACTCGGCGAGCTTGTCACGGAAAGCTTGAGCCCGAAGGATGAGCTTGGTGAGCGGATCAGCATCGTCCCTGTGAGGATCTTGCGCGGGCATTGGGCTTCTTGCTGTGGCGTCTTCTTGCCCAAATATGTTAGGGCTCGATCAGCCGCAGTGATCTGCAACCAGATAAAATGCCGCGCTCAAACGTTTTAGGGCATGGCGTGGTGGAACCTGAGCAGCGACATTGCTGGGGCAGTCACCAAAATCAGCGAGGGCGTCAAGACCATCGAAAGGAATTTCGACTCGGCACTGGGATTGGAAGGTAGCGCTGGCAGCAACAAAGCAGAGGAGGTGACGCTGCCTGCTCCAGCCCCAGATCCGGAGCTGCCCAGATCGCCACGGACCAATGACGCGCTGGACCCAGGTGAGAGTGAGATCGTCCAGACGCAGGATGCAGCGGCGGCGGTGGCGGCGACGGCGGCGGTGGAGGAGGACGACAAGCAACCCAGCAGTGAGGCCCAGTTAACTCATGAGGAGGAGGTATGCGGACTCGGTGTGTGTGGTGCACCAGTTATACTCGGCTGTGTGTAGGTGCTCGACGAGGCCCACCAGATCTCACGGCTCATTGAGGAGAAGGAGCAGCTCAGGCGCTCCCTGGAGGAGGCCAGCAAGGTGAGAGTATCTCACTGCTTCGTCCTTGCACTCACGCCGCTCCTTTGTCACAGAAACGAAGCAGCCAAGTGGAACTGGAGGCGCTCAAGCAGGAGCTAGGCGCTGCCGAGCGCAAAGTCAGCACACCCTCTCTCTCTCTCTCTCTCGTTTAGATTTAGACGCTCTCTTCACTCATTTGGCAATGCGCGAGCAGGTGTACGCCCTGACCAAGGAACGTGACATGCTGCGTAGAGAAGTGAATCGAAAGTCCGACTCCACGGCCCTGCTCAAGGAGAAGGACGATATCATTAAACAGGTCATGGCCGAAGGTAACCAGTGCCCCCCCTCTCCTCTCCTAACACCCGCTGCTGTTTGTCAGGTGAAGAGCTCTCAAAGAAGCAAGCTTCTCAGGAGGCTGCAATCCGGAAGTTACGGTCCCAGGTGAAACATCAGAGTGTGCTGGTGTGTTAAACGTTTGAGATGGTGATGGCGGGCTTTACAGGTTCGGGAGCTGGAAGAAGAGAAGCAGCGGCTCCATTCCAAGCTACAGGTACGCCTGTTGTTCTCTCTTTTCGTTTCTCACCCTGCTACTGGACAGGTTGAAGAAGCCAAAGTAGAGAGCATGAGGAAAGATAAAGCCGCCACGGAGAAAGCCCTGCAGGAGACGCTTGACAAGGGGCATGCGGATCTCGCAGCCCAGAGGGAATTCTATACCAAGATGGTGAACGAAGCAAGGGAAAGTGAGGCACGCGCGGAATCTCGTGCGAGCAGCCAGGCAAAAGCGGACCTGGACCAGCGGCTGCATCAGGCTGCTCAGAGGGAGAGCGCTCTTGTGCAATCGCTCGAGGAGCTCCGTCAGGGCCTAAGTCGAGCAGAACAAGTGGTGAGGCTCCGGGACATGATGTGCTCCATCTACGTTACAACTTATAGCTGGCTCATTGTATAGGCAGCGTACCGGGAGGATGTGCTGAGGAAAGACATTGAAAGCCTCGAGAGGCGCTGCCAGGTTTGTCTGAAAGCTTTGGCGAGGGAGCACTTGCATACGTGCGTCAGGGGTGTATGTACAGGATGCAGAAACGCGGTATGATGATCTTGTTGCCCGGGTTCCCGAGTCCACGAGGCCTTTGCTCCGTCAAATAGAGGCAATGCAGGTGAGTGAGCCGTCTCTCTCCATATATATAGCCGCTGTCCATGTTCTCAAACTGCCTGCTCTCTGCTCAACAGGAGTCATCGGCTATGAGGGCGGAAGCTTGGAGTGGTGCAGAACGAGCTCTCAACTCTCGCTTGCAGGTGTGGCGCGTGTGTGTGTGCCTGATGATGAAGTTGTTCACTCACAATACATGCAGGAGGCTGACGCAAAGGCAGCAGCTGCAACGGAACGGGAGAGAGCTACAAACGAGCGCTTGTCACAGACGCTGTCACGGCTGGCGGTCATGGAAGCTCAGGTAGTGTTAATCTCCTTTGGTGTAGTTGCGGCAACTCAAGTACCTTGAGGCAACGCAGGTGTCGTGTGTCAAGGCCGAGCTGTCTCAAGTGACGCGCTCGCTTGAAGCGGAGCGGGCAAGAGCATCTGAGACCCGGCAGGAGTTGTTAGCTGCACTGGAGTCGGCTGCATCACACGAAGGGCGAGCCAAAGTTTTGCATGAGGAATTGAGTGATGTCAAGGAGAAGTATGCACAAGTCCTTGGCCAGGAGAGGTCCCGAAGGCTAGCACTGGAGCAGGCACGTAGTTGGCGTATCTCGTCCTTTTGACATCCGCTCTGTGAGTGCAGGAGCTCAGCAGAGAGCGAGAAATGCGCGGAGAGGCGGAGGAGCGGGTGCAGCGGGTTGCCGACGACAAGATAAACAGTCGGGCGGCAGCTTCAGGTACACAACAGTGGCGCTTGCCTAGCTTGACGAGCGTCAATGGCATGGAGGAGGGTCACTTCTTGCAGGCGTCGCTAGACTCTTACAAGGCCATGGTGGTGGAGCCGCCGCCTCCTTCGCCACCTCCTGTGAGCAAAGGCAATGTATCGGCGGAGCAGTTTGAGTCGGTGATGCGGCACAAGGAGGGGGAGTTGTCGTCGTACGCGACTCGCCTGGTAAGCAGCGAGGCATCAATCTGTTTGCTATCTAATGTTACAGGCGGAGCTGGAATCAACTCGAGCTGCGCTGGCCGAAGAGCTTGTGAGAAGCACGAGTGAGGTAGGCACAAGCTCGGTCTTGGCATTTCCCAGTCAACGTTGTGCTCTGACAGTGCGAGAAGCTACGGAGTGAAGCGTCAACTTTGCGTGGTCTGCGTGCCGAGTTGGAGGCGTTACGGCGGAGGCATGCTTCTGCCTTGGAGCTCATGGGGGAAAGGGACGAGCAGGTTGGTGTCCACCGGTTTGATCTCCTCGCTGTCTTGAATATGCCGTGGTCGCAGGTGGAGGAGCTTCGAGCGGATCTTGCGGACGTGAAGCAAATGTACAGAGAACAGATTGATATGCTTGTGAGCCAGGTCAAGGTTTCTTCGTCCGGCTTGTCTGTGTGACTTACTGTAAATGTGTGTGTAGATCGGGCTGTACCCGCGTAGCGAACGAGCGCTTGTCGTGTAAAACGCAAAGGGTTGGCGCCGTGAAAATAATATCTTGGGCATTAATAATACTTGCGGACCCTGAGATATTTTGTGTGCCTACCTAGGTTTATCAATCAAGCGGCCAAACAGTCGAGCATGGCGGCGGCGAGGGGCAAATTGTGTGCATCCATGCCCGGTATGGCCGCGGCCGCCTCTCGGCCCACCTTGGCATGGCTGCGCTCCTCCTCCTTTGTGTCGCCGTCGCACCAGCTGCTGCCCAAGGCGATGAGAGCTTCACCCTCGCCAGCTGCCGTGATGAGCCGGAGCCGCTCTTTTGCAACCCAGGCCGCTGTTGTAAGTCTTAGAATGCCGGCCATGGAGAGCTTGTGTAACGATTTGTGTCTTGGCAGAGCGTGGAGCCGTCGACGCTACAAGCTAAAGTCACCAGGAAGTGCTACTTTGACATGAAGATCGGCAACGAGCCGGTGGGTCGCATCGTGATTGGTTTGTACGGGGACGACGTCCCCAGGACCGTGGAGAACTTCCGAGCCTTGTGCGCAGGTGACAAGAGATCGAGGCGGCTTCTCTTCTGTTCTTGACCGCTCTCTTTGTTTCAGGTGACAAGGGGTATGGCTACAAGGGCTCTGCTTTCCACAGGGTGATTAAGAACTTTATGATCCAAGGCGGAGATTTCGATAGATGTGATGTAAGGAGGAGATCTACGTTGCTGGTTGTTAAGGCAAGAGCTTGTTTGTTTGCAGGGGACTGGTGGACGGAGCATCTATGGTGGGAAGTTTGAAGACGAGAATTTCAAGCGTAAGTACTGAAGCTGTGTACCTCTCGACTCACGCTTGCTCTTTTGCTTACAGTGACACACACTGGGCCAGGAGTTCTGAGCATGGCTAACGCCGGGCCCAATACCAACGGGAGCCAGTTCTTCCTCTGCACTGTCAAGGTGACTATCTGGTGCTCTTGTTCCATCTGTATTTGACTGAAAAGCGAGCTGCGCAGACGGACTGGCTGGACAAGAAGCACGTCGTTTTTGGTCATGTTCTCGAAGGCATGGACGTGGTCAAGATGATCGAAACCCAGCCCACGGACCGCGACGACCGCCCCAAAAAGGCATGCGTCATTGTCGATTGTGGAGAGCTGTGACTCTAGGTGTGCCAAGTTTTGGAATGAGTTAAGTTTTTGTCAACGACAAGGCTTTGCAAGAAACAATGTCTTTTGTTTTCTATGTGGGAACTTTGTCTCTCAACAAAATGGTGATCCTGTTGAATGCAAACAGAGCGCCGAAACAGAGCAAGAGGACTTGATCGAAGGCCAGCAAGCCTCGCCGCCAAACCTTGTCACGGTAGCGCAGCACCTCCTCCGACAGCTCGAGGTCTTTGACCTGTTTCTTAAGATTGGCAATGAAATCTTCACAGCTCCTAAGCTTGGTGGCTGCAGCATGTGGGTGTTGCTCCTGTTCCATTACCAGCATCCCCCCCTTGGCCTCCTCCAGTGTCAACATGGATGCCGTCAACTTGACACATTCATCACTAGCACCACTATTCCAGGTTGACGTTGACATACCGGCATCATCCGGGTCGCTCTGTCTCACACTCGGCACACAAGACACGCCCTTATCGTCCTCACACTCGTCCAGCCTCTTGGCAAAGCGCTCCAGTAACGCCGTCAGCTCCACCACCTTGTGCCCCTGGCAGGCCGACACCTGACACAGCTCATCGTCCCGTTGGTTGGCATTTGCAATCTCCACCTGCGCGTAGCTCAGCAGCGTAGCCAGCTCCCTGTTCCTGGCCTCGGCCTCGCCTCTCTCCCGCCTCTCGTGCGCCAGAGCCTCGGACTTCTCCCCGACCAGCAGCTCCAGCACAAAGACGTGCATGGCCTCAACCGGATCTTCTTCTTGCACCTGGACGCACACGTCCTGGCGCTCGACATCATGCTCGTCGAGTTGTTGCACGAGGTGCTGGATGTGGGTGGCGCTGCGGCTCTCGAGGTCGAACCTCAGGCTGCGCTCGTGCTTGAGATCCTTGGCCTTGTCCTCTGCCTGCCGCTTGTACTCGAGCAGCTGTATCTCTAGCAGCTTGATCCGGGCGAGGCTGCTGCTGCTGTTGTTCCTGCTGCTCTGTTGCTGCGGCTGATTCCACGACCTCTCGTGCTCCAGCTCTTTGCTAGTCTCGTCCGCCACTCGCCTGAGCCGTGACACGTGCTTCTTGAGCACCGCCACCCTCCCCTCCGCCGCTCGCAACTTCTTGCCCTGCAACTCACACACCCGCCCCAGCTGCGCCACCTGCTGCTCCGCCGTCGGGCCTTGCTGCTGCTCCCGCTGCTCCGCTTCGTCACCGCTATCCCTGTCCTGCAATTCGTCCCTCAGCAACCTCGCCAAGTCGCTCACTTTCTTCCTCATTCCAGACACCAACGCTTCGCGCTCGCCAGCGCTCTCGCCGCCGCCATGCTGCTGCTGCTGCTGCTGCTGCTGCTGCTCGTCATCCAGTCCTTTTGCAAGCTTGTCCAGCAAAAAGAGCAGCTTCTCTGACGTCTCAAGCTTGGAATCCTCTCCCATGGTGCCTGGGCCGTCCAGTCGGCTGAAACGTAAGTCGGGCATGTCGTGGTGACTACATGCGTGCCACTTGGCTTGTTCTCTCGGACGCTGTTGAGCCTCGAGCTCCGCCAATAAATCTTTTAGCTCTTCCAGCCTCTCGGCCGTAGTGGAGCACAAGACGTGGAGCCTGTGGCACTGACTGTCCGACGACAGCCTACACCCTTGCTCCTTTCTCCAGAAGTCATGCAGCTGCTCATACTTGTGCCTTGACTTCTTGAGGCTGAGCTGAAGCCGTCGGTTTTGCTTGTGCGAGATGGCATCGTAGCTCTGCTGCCGGCGATGATCCTGTTTAGCGTGATCTTCCATTTGACACCGGATATCCTTTAACTGGCTCTCAACTTTGCACCGCTGCTTTTTTTCAGCCTTCAACTCGGAAGCTCTCTCCATGGCCAGGTTCTTGTGCAACACAACCTACAACGTACACTTGTAAGTGCATTGTGACATTGGGGGAAGGCAACTACCAACCTCGATTTCCAGCCTCGCCACTGCCGCCGCCCTCTCTCCAGCTTCATCGCTTCGCTTACTTTGCTCAGCCTCGAGCTCCCTCGTCTTGTCAGCCAGCTGCTTCTTCAACTGCAGCAGCTGGGCCTGCAATCTGTCCACGTCGCTGCTCCCGCTCTCTCTCCTGTGTCGGCTGTGCTGCTGCTGTTCGTGTTGCAGCTCCCCGGCGAGCTTCTTGAGAGCATTAACTTGCCTCTTGAGGTTCTCAGCCTTGGCCTCGGCAATGCTCTTGAGCTTGAGTGCTTGCCTGAGCTGGGTGCCGTTGATGGCGATCTCCCTTCCGTAGAATCGGCTGCTACACGCGACAGGCCCGCTATTTACCGGGACCTGGCGGTTGACATTATCCGTATCCGTCTGGTCTTGCGTACTAGCAACGGGGACCTCGTCATCCTCTTGGACAGCCTCCACCACTGCATCAGGATCGTCAACGCCCTTGGCATCATCGGGCTGTTCCACCACAACCTCAATGTTGTTATCAGCATCAAGAGCGGCTTTGTGCTGCTCTTGTGCATGTTCCACCTCCACCACCCTTGGCCGCTCTAGCTTAGCTAACAGGTTGGAGATCTTGTTCTCCGCAAGGGCCTGTTCAAACTTGAACTGCCGTGTCCTATCCTCGGCTTCCATGAGAAACGCCCTTACCTCGACAGCATGCCTCTTCTCCAAGTCGTATCTCCAGCGCTGCTCTGCACACAGTTGCTGGTCCCTGTCCTCGACAATTTCCTTGAGCCGCAGAACCTCCCTTTGCAGGCTGTTGATGCAGCCCTGCACGCCAGCCGCCGTGCCATTCAGGATGCTCTTGTTGCTCTTCCTCAGCTGACCCGTGCGAAGGCCACCCTGAGGCCTCGTGGCGGCGGGAATACCAACCTTGAAAGGGAGCTTCACCTCTTGCACCTTCCTGCGCTTGGCCTCGTGCTTGGCAGCCCTGGCCACCCTCGCCCCCATTGCCTTGCGCTTCATCTCCAAGTCATTCCTGCTAATGCTCAGGCACGGGCTCTGATCCCGTCGCTGCTCCCGCTGCTGGACTAGATCCGACAGCTGGATCCTCACCGTTTGGCCGGCAGCCCTGTCCCTGGTAGCCTCCTGGATCACTGTGCGAGCCAACGAGGACAAGCGATTGTCATCGGTGGGATTTTCGGCCTCCTCCCACTGCCGCAACTCCTCAGAAAAGACATCTATCTGCTGGCCTAGCTCTTCAACCTTGACGGACTGGACGGCAAAGAATTTACCCAGGTCTTCCGCGTGCTCCTGGGCAGCCGCTCCCGACGACCGCCGCAAGCTTTCCTGCAGCCAGTTGATCCTCCCTTTCATCTCCTTGACTTGATCCGCGTAGGATGCAATCTGCGTGCCCACGTCCATGCTGCTACGGTGCTGCTGTTGCGTCGCCAACCGGTATCGTGTGGCGATGACTTGCTCGGCTGCATGCACAGGTATTGCAAATTGCAATCATGCCGTGGACAAGATTACCGTGCTCAAACAGTGGCACTGCAGGTATGTGCAGGTGGTAGTGTGCCGCCACGAGCGGGTGGCAGGAAGGGAAGTTAAGCTCGAGCGCGGGTGCCACGTCTCGACTCGGGCTTGGGCTTGATACGAGCGTGTTGCAGTCGTCGCCCATCTCCTCCACCGCTACAAGCACCATTCCTCCCGCCCGGAGTCAATCGACGCATAGCGCGTTTCCCCACATCGCCAGCTTGGCGCGTGGACAAGCAAGCTGCCATGTCATGTCATATTAATCGAAGTCTTATTCCTTCTAAAATCAAGATAAAATTCGTCCTGGGAACAACTACAGACTTATGGTAAATCCCCTCTGCACCCGCGGTGTTGCCTTGCATTCGTTGTCAGGAATTGCGAACTTGTACCAAAAAACGAAAGAAAAGAATCACAGGCCCACGCGAGTCTCTAACTTTTGTATCTGGTTGAGGAATATCCATGTCATCTGCAATGGTCGCCAGTGAATGAGTGAGAGGGAGAATAAATAGCATATGCCTACCATGACATGGGGCGCGATCCTCACGCAATACGTTCCAAAGCCCGTGTAAAACTTGAGAGGCCCGTGCTTTTTGAACGTCTGGACGGCGCAATCCAAAGAGCCCGAGAAGGGGTACTTGCCATCAGGCCCCGGCTGCATCTTTTGTATTTGCGTCTTAACGTAGTCGAAGGGTAGGCTGCATGCAGAAGCAAAGAAACCCGACACTGCACTCGCGCCTGCGGAAGCAAAAGCAGGTGTTAGAAAAAAGGTGGTGGTGGTGGTGGTGGCTGGCTGGAGCACCAACCTATCACTGTGGGAATCTCGGAGAAGTGGAACGCCTTGAACACTTCGACGCTCTGGTCGTAAGATGCCAGCATTCCCATGTTGAGCGCCATGGCCCTCACAACCGTGGGTCCGGCTCCCTTCCACAGCGCCAGCACGCCCTCGTCTTTGCCAATCCGCGTCAGCGCGTGGAACGCGTTCTTGTAGTGGCGCCGCTGCGCTTCCGGCAGGGTGGAGTCCGCCTGCATCCGTATGAGGGCCAAGTCTGCGGGGCTCCCGACGCACGCACCAATGGCGCCCGCCGTCAACCCGCAAAAGGCCTTTTGGTAGAGCGGCAGGGGCTTGCCGTCGTTGGCGGCGGTGGCCTTGTTCGTCAGCACTCTGCGGGATCGATCACGCATGAGACACCAAGTGCAGCAACGAACTGAGCCTCACCTGAAGGATCCCAGCCGCGCCGTCGTGTATGTCGCCTGCCGCAGCAAGCCCGCCGACAGGCCCTGCAAGATAAAAGGCAAAAAGGAAAAGACCATCGTTTGCATTGTTTGCTGCATGGCCAAGACTCCATACCTTGTAAAACGCACCCAGCCCCTCCCGGGCATACAAGCTCTTGGCAACCTGCATCGCACTGCCGTCGCCCAGCTGAATTCTGACCTGCGACAAGGACAAAGACGCGGGTTGATCCATGGATCCATCCAGATCCGGGCTACCTTGATCATGTCAATGGGCTGGATAACGCAAGTGGCACCCATGCCGGCCAGGCCCCCATTCACAAACGGCTTCACGGTCGTCCACACCGCCGACTGGGGCTTCTTCTGCACCGCCATGTCCACCGCCGCTGCCATTGTTCGCCCCTAAACCCTAACACCACGCCCCGATTTTATTTGGCATATGCCCCCCTCCCCCCTTTCTTAGGTAACAGGATGACCTCCTCCGCCTCCTCGTAGAAAGCCATGGGCGACGTCAGGCCGGTGGCTTCCCCGGTGCACAGGGACCCGTACGAGGTGCTGGGCGTCCCCCGCGATGCAACGGCGCAGCAGATCAAGAGTGCGTACCGGAAGCTGGCCCTCAGGTACTCTCCTTTCTGGTCTACTTCTTCGAGATCGAGCGAGATCCCCCCCAACGCAGATACCATCCCGACAAGAATGCCAACAATCCCCAGGCACCCGATTTGTTCAAGGAGGTTGCGTATGCGTATGGAATTCTGGGCGATCCCGAGAAGCGGAGGAGCTACGACATCGGAGGGTTCCAGGTCCGTAACGCGCTACGCTCGTCTGCCGTTTTGATCTCGTCTCCCTCGTAGGCAGTTGATCTCGATGGCCTGGATATGGAGCTGGACCTCTCCAACCTGGGGACAGTCAACACCATGTTCGTTGCATTGTTCAGGTGAGGATAGCAAGCAAGACACCCGTTCCCTCTTTTATGCATCTGGTTTCTTCAGCAAGCTGGGCGTGCCGATCAAGACTACCATCTCCGCTCAAGTTTTAGAGGACGCGTTGAATGGGACCGTGACGATCAGGCCTTTGCCTCTCGGCCGGCCTTTCAACGACAAGGTTTGTCTCGCTGTTCGACCGCCTGTGCCTCATCCCGGGCTTGTACCGTGAAAGCAGGTGGAGAAGCAAGGGGCGCATTTCTACGGCGTAACAATCTCGCCGGACCAAGCAGCCGCTGGGGTCGTGGTGCGGGCTACGTCTGTTGCCCAGAGCAAATTCAAGGCAAGCTTAATTCCATCTCTAGTCTCCACCACCCGGCTCTCGTTCTTGTTCTGGCCAGCTACTCTACTTTGAGCAGGAGGAGAATGGAGGCTTGGGTCTGGCAATCCAGGTGAGCCTGACGGCGTGGCCCTCCAGCATAAGCATTGACTGCAGTTGCGTGCCTGTTCGGTTGTAGGAGGACAGCATCAAAACTGGAAAGGTGACATCCGCAGGGCTTTACTTCCTCCACTTCCAAGTGTATCGCCTTGATCCGGCAGTCAACGCGGTGTGTTAAGCAGGCACGGTTTTGGCATTGCACTAAACTCGTCCCTCTTCCTCCTCGCAGCTAGCTATGGCAAAAGATCCGGATGCTGCGTTCTTTAAAAAGCTCGAGGGACTCCAGCCTTGTGAGATGTCGGAGCTGAAACCTGGAACACACATTTTTGCCGTCTATGGTATGCCTTTAGCTTTGCTCTTGTGGGTGACGGCAATGCTCTCTCGATCTAGGTGACAATTTTTTCAAGGCCGCGTCATATACCATTGAGGCGTGCTGCGTGGACGCCTGCCAAAAGAGTGCCGAGAGGCTGAGAGACGTCGAGGGACAAATACTAGCCAAGCGTGCGGAACTGAAGCAGTTTGAAACCGAGTACCGCGAGGTAATTAATCCGGTTTCTCCTCTCGCTCTCTCACTCTCTCCCCAGGTGCTTGCCCGTTTTGCTGCAGTGACGAAGAAGTATTCCGAGGAGAAAGTGGCTGTAAGTTGGCATATTTTTACTGGGCTGTGTGGGCTTGACTGACGCGGCTGATTGATCAAGGTTGACGAGCTATTGAAGCTGAGGGAGTCGATCCAAGATTCTTTTGGCACAGCCAAGAAGGCAGAGGACGAGGAGCAAGCAGCGGCAGCAGCGGCGGCGGAGGATGGGCACGACAAGTCGAGCAAGAAGAGATGGTTCAACTTCCGAGCAGACACGCGCATGTAAAGATTCTATTATAACTCGCTCTATAACACTTGAAGGGAATATTAAAACCGGTTCACGGTTAGTAGTTTGTGGCAGAGAGAGTGAGTGGAAATGGGACCCAAGAAGAAGGGGGATGGCAAGAAGAAGAAGGGTGGCAAAGGCAAGGGAGGGAAGAAGTCCAAGGATGGCGCTGGGCCGTCGGGGCCAACACCCGAGCAGCTCAAGGCGCAGGTGGCAACGCTTACTGCGGACAAGGCCAAGGAAGAAAATGAGCGCAACCGCATGCAGATTGATCGGGTGAGTGTTCCTGGCCCCGAGCAGCTCATTTGAAACGTTCAACGTGCTCGTGGCCTGGCCGCGCAGGACAAGGTGGCGTCCTTCTGGGACATCAAGAAGAAGGAGCACGAGCATGCTCTGGCACTGGTGCGGAACAAAGACGTCGAGCGGGAGCAGCTCCAGGAGAGGCAGCAGGCGGAGATCAAGGTGAGCATTTGCCTTTAGTCGACTGCAAACTCGTGCGCGTGCATGCAGGTGTACAACCAGCGGATGAAGCACCTCTTATATGAGCAGCAGAACATTGTGGGCAGCGTCAAGGCCGAGAACGAGGTGGCTCTCAAGCTGCAGCGCCAGCAGGCAGCCCAGCGTGAATCTCAACTCTTGTACGTGGCTCTGCTTGGATCATGTCATGATATGTACTGATAAACACCTTGTCCCTCCTGCTGATGCAGCTGTGCGCTGCAGGAATGATCTGCGTACACTCAAGGACAACAAGAAAGAAATGGAGCTCAACTATGAGGACACGATCAAGCAGATGAAGCTCGTATGCCATGTCTGTATCCCTGGCTCATGATATCGTTTCTGGCAGGACCATGCCAAGGAGATAACAAAGATGAGGCAACAGTTTGACCTGGATGCCCAAGATCTGATTGCCAAGACTGACAAGAAGGTTTAGTTGCTCAATGGCTCAAACTTTGCTGCTTTCTCCAATGGCGTGACACGCACAGATCAAACAAACCAGAGACAATGACGAGTTCCAGCGGAAGCAGGAGATACACGAGATTGAGGAGCGTAAAAACATGCACATCACGGACCTCATGAAGAAGCACGAGAAGGCATTCTCGGAGATCAAGTGCTATTACAACGACATCACCCAGAACAATCTCGACCTTATCAAGACGCTCAAGGTGACACAAACAAGTTCCATTGGAGTAGGGCAGCAGACTGACACTGCCGCCAGTGTAACCTTTTTAGGAGGACGTGACTGACATGAAAAAGAGGGAGGCTGCAAACGAGAAGCTCATGTACGAGATTGCGCAGGAGAACAGAAGGCTGACCGAGCCACTGACACGGGCTCTAAAGGAAGTGGAGAACCTGAGGAAACAGATGGCTCAGTATGACAAGGTAACGAATTCCTCTTTCAGAACTGCCTGCTGATCAAAGTAAAACCAATACAGGATAAGCACTCCCTTCAGCAGTTGCGTTTGCAACACGTGGACGCTCTCAAGCACGTCCAGAACCTGGAATGGGAGTACAGGCTGCTCCAGGAGAAGCTCGAAAAGGTATTGCATGCATGCGCATGCATCCCTGGGGACGCGATATCACGTAGTACAAGGCTGTGTGTCTCCAGGTCCAAGCGGAGCGCGATGACTTGTACGCTCGGTTTGAGTCGTGCATTTTTGACGTGCAGCAGAAATGCGGGGTCAAGAGCTTGCTGCTGGAGAAGCGCGTGCAAGTCTTGTTGGAGCAGCTGGAGAAGAAGGTGCGCGTGCGGCGGGGCAGAGTTTTGTGTTTGATTCATCACCTGGTGGTTGCAGGACACTCAGCTGGGCGAGGCCATGGGCGCATCCAAACTCCTGGACGCCACCAGTGGAGCCAAGTTTGGAATTGACAAGGTTATAGACACCAAGAACCAGAAGATCAAGCGGCTTTATTACGAGCTCGGGAGGGTCACCAAAGTAAAGATTCGCAGTTCAGACTGGCGCTCTCTGATCATTTTCGTCGTACATATCTGTGCCTTCAGGCCCACAACAGCGTTGTCAAAGCTTTTCAATCCAAGCTGGCCGAGTTCGGCGTTCCTCTGGAGCAAATGGGACTGCCAGAATACATCGCCAAGCTGCCTGTCTAGTTTCCTCAAACAGCTGAACCTCGTATAGCTTCAAAACACAGCACCTTGCATCTGTGAAAGAAGCTTGCAGCATCACAGCCAAGCGGCCCAACCAGGAAACAAAAGGCACAGGTTCTCTGGATCTTGTGCATCTTGGACCAGCTGCTGGACCTGTAATGGGACAGTTCTTAAAGAAAGAAAAAGAGAGCAATGCCAATCCTTTATTACCTGACCCTCGACTGTACGGTTCTCGCCATCACGATAGCCATCAAGCTTTTGTTTAACGCGCATTAGTGCCCGTGTCGCATCTTTGTTTCCCTCCACTTTATCAGGGTCCTCCACATCCGCATACTCGGCTCCCTGAATGGAAATTAGAGAAGCATTATAAAGATGATGTATACCTCTTGTCTCTGCAGCGCCTTGAGGGGTGACAAGGCCCATCTGTACAAAGGATCGTGTATGAACACCTGCATAGCAACCTTAGCAAACTTTCTTCCGCCTTACTTCGTAGCACTTACCTCGATAATGGTGAGCAACGCTTCCTTGTTCGCTCGCAAGACGGAAAGCGTCGCTTCACAACATCTCCTGAACACTCCCTCCACACCCGTGACACCCATACCATCGATAACGTCCCGTGTGAGTCTAAACGGAATCTGGAGGTATCCCAAGTCAGCTACGGCACAGCAAGCAATCAGCTACCGTTTCTGGTGTCTTAAGCATCAATCCTTGGTCAAACGCCACCCCTAGATCGATATGGACGACATCAGCATTAGCCTGATCAATCAAAATGTTCATCGAATGGCGGTCTCCCAGTCCCACAACGTAGCCAACCTGAAATTAAAGACGTGATCAGCAGAGAACAAGCACAACAAATGAGAAATTTCTCACCATTGAAGAAGCTGCCACACTTCGCGTATAGTTCAGCCGCTTTTCAAACCAGTCTGCAGCTCGAGAGAAGTTCTCTCGGAAGAAGTAGCGGAAAACAGGCCTAGCAGACACAACTTACAACCACCTGGCAGAATAAATCTCATAGTCTCACCTAAAGTTTTTGCACACGGTCTGGAAGGCCGCGCTTTTGTTGGATTCCTAACCAACAAACGGTGAACAATGGATAGCTCGCCGGGCGTCACACATACCTTGACTATATGCTCTCGGCACTCCGCAAACGTCCAATCTGCAACGCTGTAGCGAGTGTGTGCTCCTGGTACTTTAGAACTAAACAATTTTCCTTCTCTGAGCAAACCAGAAGATCTCATACTAATTCTTACCTTCCCAGCAAATACTGTCCGAGTGGAATGGTCCCATTCACCCATTCCAGAGCACCAGCACTCGGAGTGAACGGAACAACCTGAGTTTTCGAAAGTAAGAAACGGGATCATATGAAAACTGCTAGTTGTACCTTGTATGTTCGTATTTGAAGACATCTGATACGAGTTTCTGAATGATCCTTTAAGAGTGTGTTGACAAGACCAAAAAGTTGCTCCATCACCTGAAAATCGATGTTATTATCTCTCCAAGGTCTTAGAGACTACAGACCGCATCTTGACGGAGATCATCACCCCCAGATTTGGCTAACTGGCGATACTTTTGGCCGTCCGATCCGCGGCACAGCACAACTTTTGGAACATTAACGCCTCTCATTACACTGAAATGTTTTGCGCTTTTAGTTAGTATGAAAGCAAGACCAAGTTAATCTTACGTAATGCTTCCCTCGAATCCATCGAAATATGGGAGATTTTTACCAGAGTAGTCACAATTGCGATCTACTGGAATGTTCGCAGTCAAAACGGGGACCTGTATAAATTTCAATTGAAGGAAATATTGAAGGATAACTTCTAGTATTTACCAGATTAAGTCGTCGCACACTACGAATATCCCTTGGATAGGGTACTGGCTTAAGGCAGTCCTGCAAAAAAACAAAGTAAAGAAAAATTAGCTACAAAGTAGGCCAACGCTGCACACGGCAATTACTTGCTGTGAGACCTCCAGCTCGGCCAGTTTGATATACACCTCAACCATATCTCGCACCTAAATAACAAAGGAACCACGTCCTGAATTGTGATGTAATAATTAATTACCTGCATGATCAAATTAGAATGGCGATTAGTTAGCTCCTTCAGTAGCTCCTCTGCTGCACGTTTTTTCTCTAGGTCAATAACGAAAGCGTTTTTCCTCTTCTGGTTTTCCTTGATTCGATCCCCATTGGCCAGCGCCAGTAACTAAAGTTGTAAATCCACATTAGAAGGCACATAGCTTGGTAGAAGCACAGTACCTGGTAGAGTGAGTGGTACGGATGCTCAATCGCCATCTTCTTCACAAGTGAGGCCACAGCAAACTGCGAAACGACAAGTCACAGTCTCAAGATTCAGGACTGAAAAACATACCTGAAAATCGTTTGCCGTTTTTATGGCACCCATTCTGGATGCTATTTGATAAACCAGCGGAAGGAACTTAAACGACGGTACCTGCCAATGTGATGTGTGCCAACTAGAAGTCCCCCTAATTTGCAGCACAACTGAACTTACCTTATGCACAGTCTCGATCATGTCATTTATAACAGTTTTGTTCTCGACGTTCCCAAACCAAAGAGAAACCAACCGAAAGACCTATCGAAGTAGATTAAAACTAGGCCAATATTACGAGTTTAGCTTACCACTCTCATATCATACTTGTCACTTGAGAGTAAGCAACTCCTGTAGGACTTGAGGCAAGTTCTAAGCACACGTGCCATGTCGCCCTGCAGACATCATTGTCAGGCAGGAGCAAGTGTATTGAGCTATAACTCACATGCATCTTGGTCCACTCTACACTTTCCAGTTTAAGCTCCTTCTGAACTTCCAGCGCCTTAAGAGAGTAACCATGCGTATCATCCTTTCAAAAACCAAAAAGTTATTACAGCCAAATAAAAGAGTGCTTACTTTTGATTCTTTGGCTTTTCTCACCAGTGCCTCATACTCCTTCATCTAAAGAACACAGATGATGTGACAAAAAGTCTTTGCAAGTTCATCATACCTTCATATTTCTCAGCTGTAATTCAGTTTGCCACTCGGTAGAGCCAAGTCGATCTTCATAACTTCGATGAAGAGCATTAGCAAAATGGGCCAGGTGGAAATGTGTTTTACTTCTCCGTTTCATGAAATCGCTACTACCAGAACTCGTAGATCTAGTCTCAGCAATGATGACAGCTTTCTCAAGATAAGACTCAAGGATTACATGAGAGCTGCAACGAAAATTTGTTATGGACAAAATAATTTCGGGCACGTTGGTACCTTGCGGATCTTGTTTGTGCAAGCCACTTTCCAGCAAGACAATACAAAGCCATGGAGTCCGTCGAACCAATATACGTTAACAAGTACTTCACAAGACTTACTGCCAATTCACGCTGACCTTGCGCCCATAGGACTTTAGCTTCTTCAATCTGAAAGACCATATACATTAGTATACTTAGTCGACATGAATTAGAGATAAAACAGACCCGTCCGGCTCTTAAAATCTCGCTGCGCTTATTGTCTCCTTGGCAAAGGCCTTTGAGCTCTTGAATTGCACCTGCTGCTTGATTGAGTCTTCCAGCCTAAAAACTTATTGGTAAGCGTCAAATGAGAAAGAGTTTGGAACCTTTCTGGCAAGTGCTGCGTATTCAACAAGATAACAAGGAAGACAGTCCTCCCGCTGAAGAACCCGAAGAAGTACTTTCATAAAGCTCCCAAATGGTTCCAAGAGGTTGTAGTTTCCCGTCGTTTGTTTCGTAATGCCTTTCCACCTCGTAAATAGCATTTGTATCTGCAGAACCGAATGAAAGATTTTTTTTCCAGGGAAAAATTAGAAACATATAAAATATAACACGTAAATCCCTTACATACCTCGCTGTCGGGAGGGGTGCTAGGTCCACTAGATCCCAATGATGGCCAGCGGAGACTCCAAGCGAACGGGAGACAATCAACAATCTGAAGAGAGACAGTATCAGGATCACAAACGTAAAAGGTGTAACGAGCCTGGAGTTTGACGATAGATGGATAAACATTTTGAGTGCTTTCAAGGCTGGTGTGCGCAACATGAGAAACAGTGTCCTGATAAACTTGTTAGACTTGAGAGAAAACGATACATAAGAACCTTACCTCTTTCATCCGTTTGACAGAAGTGTCAAATCTGCTGAAATCTCCTTCAACGAGACATTGAAAGGAGCTGCTAATGAAGATAGCAAAACTTATACTACATAAACAACAATAACATTACCTGAGTAAATTTCCATGAAAGCCCAGCTTAAGAGAATCATCACCGGTGGGGTTCATATCGAAACTCAGGTCCCACTTTCCAGACTTCCAGGCACCTTCGTACTGCACACAAGAAAGATCATGTGATGATCTCAAAGGCTGGATGTACCTGTAATTCTTTGAACTCCTTGTCGTTTAATAGTTCCATCTTGATGTTTCTAAGACCTGTGCTGTAAACGTCCCTCACCTGAGAGCATCCTGAGTGTTGCAGCGCCCGTACAACACCTTTGTAGTAACCCTTTAGGACGTCAGTGTTATTTGAGCTACTTAGCAGCAAATCATATGTTTCCAAAGCCTTTCCCCAGTTGCCTTCATGCTCGTACAGCCTGACTTGTGATATGGGCTGAGAAACATATTCTTGGCATCAGATAGACAACGTTCAAGTAATTGATCTTACATTGTGAGTGTAAATTATGCCATAGATGCTGTCTGGTTCATTCACCTTCGTATACACAGACAGAAGACGTTCCAGATGTTCGGGTAGCTGGCAATCACGTTAAGACACGATTACAGTCAAGAATGATGCAAGATTTTACCTCGTCCTCATCTCCCGAAAGTTCTCGTTCTCCCAGCACAGCCTTTCCGAAATTTTCTTCACACCAATGTTCAACATAGAGAACAGAAGTGAAGTACGCCGCACATTTCTGAACAGTTTCCAAGTTAAATGTCATAGAACCCAAATCAAACACAAAATAAGCCGACCTGTGCTGTCTTGGCCGTAAGAAGGTAATCCACATCCAGCCAATAAACCTGAGGAAGAAGAAACCTGAAAGATTATAATGAAATTCAACTACCTTAGGCCACTTTAGAGGCTCCAGCGTATTTGTTCCTTGCGACAAGCCTTTGGCTGCTGCCTTTACGTGACAAGCTCGTAGACTATTAAAAGCTTCGAGAAAAACTTGCATCGACCTTGTATTTTTGTTGACATCGGAAAAGATATGGTCTTGAACCTACATGTGAAGCTGTAAGCTTTCTGATGAAATAAACAGACCAGCACTTGCATGTGTAACAATAGTAGTGTACAGAGCAGAATGAATTGGGATCACTTTAGCCAACGACCCAAGCGCATAAGGGAGCAGAAACTCAGCTAGTGCAGCCTTAACCTCAACCAGACTCTGACAAAGCCTGCAAGCATTTTCATCCTAAGTCCAAAATATAACAAAGAATAAAGTCACCTTAAAAGAGTATCTTCGGTGTAGCTTATCAAGGCATGAACCAACGAACAAATCCAAGTCTCGTAACTTTTGTCGCTAGTGCTCCAAACTGATGAATCTTCAAGCTTCCCAGATTTTGCTGCATGAAAACGATGAAAAGATGTCTATTTCCAAGCTCACTTACGAGCATTACACCCAAGAACTAGGTTCACCAACATTTTGTTAGGACCATCGGTATGCGTCTGAAAACAGTAGCATGTGTCAATACACATTGCCTGCTTTGCATGTTTTACCTCCAAGTACGCTCGCTCTTGTTCATTGAGTCTATTTAAAACGTCATAACCATTTTTGGTTGCCAACAAGCCCTGCACAAATCCGTGACTTGTTTTACAGATTACCAAAGTAGATTCAGACCTTTGCTGTTTGATACGCCAGATCAATTATAAAAACATCTTTATCTAGTAAATAGCTGCACAGCTGAGTCAGTACTACTTCCAAAATATCCTCAGACGGCCCAGCCACGTCGATAGTTTTTGAACGATATGAGGGACGCAAGAAATTTCTGTTAGCGTCTGGCAAATGGAAAACCACCGCTTCACAATTTCCAATTCCAACCTGCAATGGTAAGTGGATGACACATAGCTTTACAAACAAAACTGTCTTACCGCAGCTAGAAGTTCCGCAGTCAGATTCTTGATGTCATAATCATGATCGTCATTGCATGAGAGAACAAGTTCCCAAACGGCAATCACTAATTCATCAGAAGTGAAGAGACTCCGAGATTCCGGTGCATCTCGCAATTGGTTGCAAAAGCTTCGAAGACTGAAAAAAGAAAGCAAAAAGATTGAAAAAAAGATAGAAATAAGAAGTAAACCTCCATAGTCGTAATTGAGAGGGAAGAGAAGGAGCCTTCTGCACAAACTGAAGGCACTCATGAGTGTTATATGTTGCATACTCCGTTCTTACCTTTACAAACTCTTTTGAAAATGCATCGGCAGAACGCAATTGAGCTTGGAATTCTCTTATCGTGTTGAAGCAAGGAAAGTCCGGAAGTTGGTTAAGTTCCTGAAAAGAACAGGTTCAAACTGAAAAGCTTATCAAGCCAGTATGCAGTACCTTCACATAGGGGGATAAAGATGATTCGCCTTTCAGAGTCACACGATGAAGTAGCTGAAGCACAGATGAGCACAATAGATCACCGTTAAAAGTACATGACACCAGTCCAGAAACAAGAGCCTGTAATACCAAAGATATTTGAGATGCCACCATTAACTTCACAATAACAAATATAACCTGTAGATGCTCTCCCAGAATCCACATAGACGACTGCGGTTTGCGCTCCAGTTTATCAATCATTGCATTTATCAATAAACAGCACTTCGGTTGCAAGTCAACCATTTCAATTGATTGCAAAATTATGTGCATCATGTACCTGCCATGCCATTGTAAGCTGTATGACCTTAGTAGACAAAAAGTTACCGGAATGTGCTCGGAATCACAATTCCGTCCTCGATAACGTTCAAGAATGCGTCCAGTTTTTCCAGAGAGTGCCGTGTGTGGCGCCAGTGAGAAGAACTGGAAGCCTCCTTGTGAATTTCTAGCAAAATCTGTTCTTCACGTCAAGTGAGAATCAACATCCCAGGCGCATGCACTAACCTGGAATACGAGCTCCTTCACTTCTTGGCGTCTACTACTGAGTAAATTCCAGTGTTATCAGTTAGAAATATTTGAATGTACGATACATACTCTTCAAATAACCCCTTCGCAACTGCCCTTACGGCAGCCATGGCCGCATCCTTCGAAACTGATGGCAACACAGCGTCCGCCTTCACTAGCAGAATGATATTTTTTGCAATAGAAAACTGTCGTGCTGTATGTAAGCACTTCAGCCGCACAAGAAAAGAAACTCAGCACCTACCACGTGTTGTTTTATAAGCTTCTCCCGCTGAATTTGAGTTTCAAATAGAGGGCTTTGAAGAACCAACGAGGCTTTATCATATCCACCCCAATCCAGAGCGGCAAGGAAGGCAAAAATAGAGGCAAAGTTCTCCTCGACCAATGAACTGACAGACATTGTTCTCTCCTAAACAAAAGTAAGACTCAAATGGGCAAATACCTGCTATGCATACCTGTGCTATCTGCTGAATTTCGGCATGTTGTCCATGTAGGAACGAAGAAGGTAGTATGAACGGAAGACAATACTCAAGGAACCCGTATGCATTTGAAGGTTGGATAAGTATGTCGCTCACCTGGTTACATATAAACAATCAAATAAAGTTAGAACTTCAAGATTTGCATACCTTCAGGAGTTCACTTATATGAAATGAAGCGGCAACCCAGCAGTCCAATATCGATCTGAGCAGCTGCTTGAAGAACTTCAAAACAAATATACACGAACTAGTAAACAGCGCATATTACAGCTATCACAACCTTAAATCTGTCTGTATAGCCCAGTTGTTTGGCAATTTTATTAAGCACTGCAACGACTAAACTCCTGCAACAATCAAATCTCAATTGTGTTATTAGAAACATGCTAACATTACCTATGCATGGGCTGTAGAGCAGCTTGGGCAAGAATAATGCACACAGCCTGAAAAGGTAAAATGAGCATGACAATGAGAATATAAATAGCAGTGGTCGTACATCAGCTTCCACTTGTTCGCTTGCAGCTGCTACTTCACCGATAGCTATTATTGCCGTTTTATACAGAAGAGCTTCCGTTGTATCACCTAGGTGGGAAGTTGATAGTTTCACTCCAAGACTAGCTCTAGCACATGCACTAACTTGTCAGAGATCTTATCATCATCGCAAAAACAAACTTACTGGACATCCTGTAGAAGTTGGGGATGTCCGCTCCACGTCTCAAACAAGATATGTATTCGGCTAGCATGACCGGCCCTGACACGAAAGTCAGGATCTTGCAGAAGTTCCAAAAACATTAAATCCTACAATCAGAAGCCGTTGTCAAAGGGATTGATTACGTAACAAGCTACGGGATACCTGGGCAAGGGTCGCATCCAGTATCATCAAGTCTGCAACAGCTTCGCCAATTTTCAAACGCGTTGTATATTGTAGAGCATTCACCTTCGAAACGTATTCTATAATCTTTTGAAACCTTGGAAGTACCTGAAAGAAAGCTCAAAGCTATAAACAAGGAAATCTGGGGACGACGGACCTGTGCCAGTTTGGCTTTATCTTTCTCGGCTTTCAACTTTGACAGCAGCAGTTGGGAAGAAGCCAGAGTATTGAAACAGGTAGAGTCACAAACTTGACCTTTTTGTAGGGAATTCATCAATTCTTCGACCTGTCCTTACGCGTCAAAGCACTGGCAAAACTAACGCAGCTTACCAGTTCCTCAAGTCTCGGTAGCATCTCAGGAATCGTAAAAATACTGCACATAGAAAATATGAGCTTTTCACGAACCTGCGAAAACCTTTATGGTCAAATGCCATCCAAACATTCATTAAAGTGAAAACAACTACCTTAAAGTCCTCTGAAGCAAGCAGTAGATCTCGCAAAATATGAAACGCAGCCTCTGGAATTTGCCGGCCGAGGCTGCAAATCATGGATATGCATATGACTTTCCAGTTTTCTCGTTTAGGTGCATCCAGCTCCGCATCGTTCAGTACAGAATTAGAAGTTGTGGATTCACATACTCTGCCGTCCTCTAATAAACTCCGCAAGACTTTCAATAATCCTTCAAAGGAGCACCGGGAAACAAGCTTTGTCTGGCCGGCGCTTTCTGCAGAAACAAGCTCATCTAATGCAAGAAGTGATTTCACAGTGAGTTGTCTAGATGCCTCCCCAGTTTCTCCAACACTTTCCAGTCGCAAAATGCAGCACCCCATAAGAACTGCAGGTGAGGTAAAGATTTCTCCATCGCGACTCCAAAGAAGGACTGTGTGACCTCTGGAAAAAAAAATCTCAGAATCATTTCATTTAGCAATAGGCTTACCTCGTTTTCCTTGAAACCTCGACTCCCACAAAACAGTAGGACACAAGTACGGCCACCCGAAGGAGAGATTCCAGTCGCTGGCATTTTACTTCTTGAATAAGTTGCAAAATACCTTCACCAAGGATTTGAAGTAAATCGTCGCTTTGAGAAAGACTCACTAAACTGTTTCGTTGGAATTCAACCTGAAGAAACCAGCTTCTAAAAGAATATCCACGAATGCAAATGTGCTTACGTTGATTGCGGACAATCCTTCAACTCCACAGTTGGCTAAAACTTCGTCTGCAAGGTCAAGTTCACGCAACTCCGCTTCTAGAACCTTGCCTTGTTCCGTTTGCTGAGAAATTTAGGCGAGTAACTCGGCACGGAGATTTTATCACAAATAGTTAAGAATCTAATTACCTCCGACCAGCTCTGTAAGAAAGTAGCGGCATCCTTTACTTGAAATTCCAGCGCACCAACCGAGAGAGAAAGGAGCGTCCAGCTTATAAGCTTGAGGGGTACCTGACATTCCGAAGATCCGGCCTAAAAGACGAGAAGTTACAACAGAAAAAGAACAAAAGAAAAAGAACGAGAAGGTTGGACACCTGAAACTTCAATGCCTTCAGAGCCCAAACAAGAAGAGATTTTCGAAGAACAAAGTCCTGGAAGAGCAAATCGAATGTCATTCCAGGTATCTGATCAACCTATTAATTACCTGACAGGGAGCAGTCGAAAACAACACAGAAACAAAAAAGAGAGCACTTCTGCGGGTGCGATAACTGTTAGCAAAACCTGCGGAAGAGCTCAAGGAGATGACGATACCTTGTTGGTTGATCTCTGAATACGTGGAGCTCCCAAATTTCGTTCGGAGCAACAAAAGCAGGCGAGTTATTCTGCATCGCAGAAACAACAAAGTCAGAGGTCAAAGTCTCATAATACCCGGAAAAGCTACCATAAGCAATATGTTGCTCAGTAGCTTCAAAGCCTCGTCCACCTGCAAGCATCATGAGAAGACAATGGGGAGGAGTACGACATCACCCATACAAGAACCAGCACAGTGCTCATCAACAATATCCATTTGATTGTCGCCTCCCACACACACTGCCAAAGGCTTGCGTTCTGCAAGACTAGCGGACGTAAATAACAGAAGAGTGCAGAAGAGTGGAAAAATTACAATCTACCACACCTGCCAGGTTCCATGGTCCCCAATATCACAAATCTCGTTGACGCATCTGGATTGTTCTGAATAATGTCAGATATAAGAGCAGTGGAAGACAAACCTTATAAGCCATAAAGGTACTTCAAAGGACATGACGTTGATCGCTTCAATAGGCAACCTTCAAAAAGCACATACATATGTTTATCATACAGCATTGTAGTCGAGACGTACCTCTGCACCAAAGCTTGAAAGACATCAGATAAGAACTGCTGCGGAAGCTTAGAACCATAGTGCCTCAGCAGAAGGCAAATGGCGCCAGCCCTGATTATTGCAGGAATGTGACGATGTCGCACACCAACATGACTCTTACCACAACGGTTTCAAATCACGTATTCTGTCTGTGATGAGCGCAGTGACGCTCTCCTTTTTTCTACGTTTAGAGCTGTTGGTAGCATGACCTCTGTCCCTGCCGAGGAACTGAAAGAGAGAAGTCAGAACGGGAGAGTATAGCAAACGCTGAATGCACCTCAAAAATGACTTGGGCAGCAAGCATTAGAAACGAGTGTGTCGAGCTCGCAAGTGGTACAGCCTTGGTGTCCCTGGGTAAAAAGAATAATGCGCTGTAAGCTTCTTGGCATTACGAAAGGTTCGGCTTACCAACACTTCCCGTCCAGTTCCTTAACCACGAAGTCAAACAACTCCTCGAGGTGATCGGTTTCGTCGTCCCTCACAATGCTGCTTAGTTTCAGTTGCATCCTCAGATACAGAACAAACAAGTCCTGTAACAGTAAAGGAAATGAGCATATAAAGACCGCAGGGTAGCATCTAACCTTGGTAGCAGTGTCGGTAATTGTAGCCCATGACCGGAAAAGGCATTTCTTAGCACCGCAATGAATTTCAAGTAGGTGACTGCCTAGATTTGGTCCATCATGCCTCAACAAGCTGGTGACTGCCTCTAGAGCCTTTTTCAGACCCGCTTTGATATCACTGGTTTAAGAACCCGCGTGTCATGTCCGTAAACTCCCAGAATTACGAACACACCTGATGTGCAGAAAGATGTTGGAGAGCTTGGCCGCGACGTCCGGCCTTAAAGACGGAGGGATACCCCCTGGTGGATTTTTGACGATGGACAGAAAGGCATCGTCGTGCGGCTGCGTCTGAGTTTGCAGAAGGAACTGGACAAGTTCTAGAGCAGGCAACCAAGACTGTGTGAGGTCGTTTATAACGCGAGAGTTACCTGCATATGTTTCCTCCTTCATGCGCAAGCGGTATTCGTGCTCGCTAAGAAGATCGGACACAATAGCGCAGTAATCAGCTTGGAAGCTGGGAACAGTGACGACGGTATCCACCAAATGCTGGTACAGGTGACTGAGCTTGCGCACCAGGACCCCTCTCTTGTCTGCGATCAAAGGATATTCAGTTGACAACACGTCGTGCTTTTGAGCAAGATTGCGCGCAGCTTACCGGAGGCACAAGCCCTCCTCACCAGACTCCTGAGTACCTTGGCATACTCGAAACTGGGCGCCTTCTTCTTGGGCGTTTTCAGGTATGACGAAGTGCCCTCGCACAAGGCATGCACCACACCCGGCCATGTCGATGCTGCAGCACAAAAACAGGACAGGGCGAGATGAGAAAAGAAAGCGAGCGAGCAAAAGCTTTGTTACGCGGAATCTGGCCCTGGCGCTGGAGCCTTTCCGTCTGCTCGTCCAGCAGCCTCGAGAAATCCCGCATGTTGACATACTCCTTGAGCAGCTTGAGGCCGGCCTGGTTTGGGGCATGCCAATCCGACTTGACACATGAAAGAGGCGCGCTTACCTCGCGCTCCCTGTGGCGATCCGACCTCAGCTTGGCGACCATTTCCTCCACAACACGGACATTGACGGCCATAGCTCGCCCTAGGCTATAGCCCTCCTTCCCCCGCGCTGGGATTTTAAAACCCAGGCGGCCCAGGTTTAGGGTTTTCACTTTATATAAACTGTCCCCCAGAGTTAGGTTGCTGCATTTTTGCTGGTTAGTCTAGGCGTAAGCTAGGCTACCGTACTCTAGGCGGAGAGAGGAGGAGCAGGGAGGAGCTTTGTGCTAGTGGTGGACGTGGAAGCGGCGCCGCCCCTGGCAGCGGGTGTGTCGTGGTCGTGCTTGCCTTCGTACGAGGTGATGACTGCCTTTGGATCGTCCGCTGCTCTCTCCACATGCTTCCTCACGGGGCACCCCGGGTTTGTGCACCTGTAGTAGCTCCTGGACACACGGCGAGAGTTTAAACCAATCAAAACCAAGATCTCCTTAGCTAGAAACGAGCTCACCTTGGGTTGGGATTGCCTTTGACAACCTTCTGCCCGTATTTTCTCCAGCGGTAGCCGTCGTCGAGCACGTCCACTTCGCTGTTGGTGTGCACCACAACGGGTGCCTCGCGGCTGCCGCTGCCGCTGCTTCTGCTCGAGGCATTCATCCCGTCCCGTCTCCTGCACAAGCAGCATGGCGACTCAGGTGAGTCAAGTGTCTCAAGCTTGTCTCAAAGGCATTCTTTGTTACCTGCGCTTGGCATCCGGCTCCTCCCCGTCCTCCGCCTCTTGCTCCTCCTCCTCCTCCTCCACGTCGCTGCTGTTGCTGTTGCTGGCATGGCGCTGGGCAGGCGTGGGGGTGGCGCCGCCGGGCACAAGCACCAGAGTCCTCTTGCTGCCGTCGTCCGGTTGCACGCGGGTCACCGCCAGCCTCCGGATCATCTGCGGCTTGGAGTGGCTGTGGTCGCCTTTGTACACAATCTGCGTCGTTTCTCCAGACACGGAGCGCTCCACCAGCTTCTTGGCGGAGCAGTCCGGGTGCGTGCAGCGGTAGTAGCTCCGCGGATTGTCACACCCCTTGACCTGCTTCTGCCCATACTTGCGCCAGTTGTAGCCGTCGTGCTCTGGAGCGGGTGTTGATGCGCTTGCGCTTGCTCTTGTCACCGCAGGAGCAGCAGGCACCAGAGCAACGCTCGTGTCCTCGTCTTGCTGCTCCCCGTGCTCGTCATCCTCCTCCTGCTTGTTGCTGTCCGCTGGCTTCTGCTGCTGCTGCTGCTGCTGCTGCAACACTTGCGCGTGCGACTGGACTTGTGCCAGAAGTTGGCCGTGAGACACCCCTCCCAAAGGAGACTGGAAACAAGCAGGGCATTAGTAGATTTCCCTGGAGAAGAGCAACAGCATACCAGTGGCAGTGGAGACGGCGGAGGATGCCATGCCAAGGGATTGACGACATGGAAACCCGTGGTAGGAGATGGCTCTGCCTGAGGCACCAGGCCGTTAATGCAAGGTTAGACGGCAGCACGAGAAACGAAAACAAAGACAGGCTTACCAGCGCCGAAGAAGAGAGCAGCAGCGGCGAGTCGAGTGGCGACGACTTGAAGCGCGAGAGGATCTTGGGCGATGGCGAGGCGAGCGCCCCTTGCAGGAGGCTGGTGAAGGAAATGGAGCTGGAGTCGGGGTCCTGCTCAGCTAGGAAATTGGCCACCACGCCCATGGGGCTGCGGCTCAAATCGCTGCTCCGCAAGAGCGCTTCCACGGAGGGCCGGGGCGGCAGGACTGCCAGGTGAGGTCTGACCGGCTTTGACACGACGAGACCACCGCGCCCGCTCCCTTCTCCTCGTTCCATCCTGGGCGCTCCCTAGGGTACTGCTATCTCCTCACCTCCTTCCTCTTCCCGGGGGGCCTGAGCTTATTTATTAGTTACCTTCCTCGCGGCCACTTCCCACTGCGGATGAATTGCTCCCTCCCTCCTCTCTCGCTCCCTCTTTCTCTCTCTCTCTCTCTCTCTCTCTCTCTCTTTCCTCTTGCTTCTCGTCAATGGCCTGGGCCGCCCATCGTCAACAAAATGCTGACGTGGTTGAATTGACCAGCGAGCACACGTCGCGGGTTCGAGTCTCGTCCAGAGCACACGTCGGGGGCCATTCCGTCGGGGGCCATTCACAAGAAAGAGTGAGGAGTTGCGGCCAATGGTAACACTTGCTCGATCTCGCTTTTTAACTGTTGTGACACAAGATTTGGTGCGCGCGCAGAACTTCCTTGTGGGAGCCTTCAGCCCGCTGGCCAGCGTCTCCATCGAGCTCGCGGACGAGGACACGCGCAAGCATGTAAGTCGATCCAAAGCTCTCAAGATCGATCCGCCAATCAATCACGTGGACCACGAATTCCCAGGTTACCCTCAAGAAGGAGAATGGGCAAATGGCGTCCGTGCCATTGTTCCGGAGCCAGGACAGCGTCGCCGGCCAGGTTTGGTTGATCGCTTGGAGCCGCATTCGTTGCTAATAGTGCCTGTCACAGGTGAGGATCGACCCCCTCCCGGGGAAGCGGATCGAGCATCAGGGCGTCAAGATCGAGCTCCTGGGTCAGATAGGTGAGGAATTACACTTAACACCCATGGATGTATTATCTTCTTCTTTGGCAGAGCTGTACGTGGACCGTGGCCACTTTTACGATTTCACATCTCTTGGTAACCTGTTCTCTACTACCTACTAGCTTGGCTTCTTACCATCTCATCCGTGAGCACTGGCAAAAGTCAGGGAACTGGACGTGCCAGGAGTGATCCACGACCGCAAGATCTATCCGTTTGAGTTCTCCACCGTGGAGATGCAGTATGAATCCTACAACGGTGTCAATGTTAGGCTCCGGTAAGGAAAGCTGCCCCCGGCCCCCACTGTCCTTGACACCTTGGTTGTTGCCTTGCAGCTATGTGCTCAAGGTCACAGTGAGCAGGAGCTATGTTGCGGCCAACATTGTGGAGCACAAGGAGTTCTGGGTAAGCACATTCGTTTGTGTCTTAGAGAGTGCCATGATGAAAAGCTTTGTTGTTTTGAAGGTCCGCAACTTCAATCCCCATCCAGAGATCAACACCAGCATCAAGGTATGTCTGCCCCTGTCACTCACTCTCTTGGAGCCTGAAGTAAGCTGGTTTGCAACGCACAGATGGAGGTGGGCATCGAGGACTGCTTGCACATTGAGTTTGAGTACACCAAGAGCAAGTACCAGTGTTTCTCTACCTATTGTGTGCTGGGAGTTGACTACGTTGACATCGCTCGCAGGTACCATCTCAAGGACGTGATAATTGGGAAGATTTACTTTTTGCTGGTGCGCATCAAGATCAAGCACATGGAACTGGAGATCCGGCGTAGAGAGTCAACCGGCTCCGGGCCCAACACTCTGAACGAGAGCGAGACGCTGGCCAAGTACGAGATCATGGACGGGGCACCAGTCCGGGGTAACTCCATTCACTCTCACTCGCACGACAAATGACATGCATCCGCTGCGCTGCGCAGGTGAATCCATCCCGGTCCGCCTCTTCCTCAGCCCCTACGATCTGACGCCCACGTACCGCAACATCAACAACAAGTTCAGTGTGAGGTACTACCTCAACCTGGTGCTAGTGGACCAAGAGGAGAGGAGATACTTCAAGCAGCAGGAGATGCTCCTCTTCCGAGCCACGTAAGTACTTGCTTTTCTGCTGCCATATGCTATATAGCTAGGTAATGCATGTTTCATCTGCGGGAGCCATGGCCGGCCTCTTGGCACCTCGCTGCTGCACTTGGCAATGGGCGATGGACGAGGATGTGTGTCCAATGCGGCAGCAGCAGCAGCGATAGCAGCGGCGGAAGCAGCAGGAGCGTGCGGCCCAGCCGCTTGCAATGGCGGGAGACGAGGCAGGACAAGCGGTCGGCCAGGGAGGCCATGACGGTGGCAAACCGGGTCATGGCGTCCGAGGAGGCGAGCTTGCGCAAGAGTATGGCCAGAAAGGCGAGCAAGCTGCTGCCCAGCTCGCTGCTCGACATACTGTCGGACAGGATCCAGCGGGGCCAGTGGGAGGCGGCGCTCAAAGTGTTTGAGCTCCTCCGCTCGCAGCAATGGTACCAGCCATACGCCGGCACCTACATCCGCATGCTGGAGATGCTGGGCAAATGCAAGCGGCCGGACGAGGCCGCCTCCCTCTTCCAGACCATGCTCGCCGACGGCTGCGGCCCCAGCCGGGAGGCATTCACGGCCCTCATGTCCGCCTACACGCGCAGCAACCTGATGAGCACCGCCATGGAAGTGCTCCAAGCCATGAACGCCACCCCGCACTGCTCGCCTGACGTCTTCACCTACAGCCTCCTCATCAAGTCGTGCTGCGACTGCGGCCAGCTGAGCCGTGCCGCGGACCTCCTGGCCGACATGACCGCCCGAGGCATCCAGCCCAACCGCGTCACCTACAACATCATCCTCGACGCCTATGCCAAGTGCGGCTCCCTCGACAAGCTCCACGACCTGGCGCTCCAGATGCTCCAGTCGCCCTCGCCCTCGTGCAGGCCCGACCACTGGAGCCGCAACGCCATCGTCAAAGGCTTTGGCAACCGCGGCGACATCCGGCGAATGGAGGAGTGGTTCCAGAGGCTGACCACGCCCAGCGACGGCCCCGACTCGCTCACGCTCCACTCGCTCATGGCCGCCTACGCTAAGGCCGAGATGTTCGACAAGATGCACGCGGTTGTGCGCTACATCCACAGGTACCACTACCAGGTTGACGCCGTCACCTACAACATCCTCATCAACGCCTATGGCCGTGCCGGCCGCAAGACGCAGATGCTCAAGACCTTCACCAGCATGAAGTGTGGGGGCGTCCGGCCCGACTCCGTCACCTACTGCACGCTCATCAACTTCTACGGCAAGTTTGGGATGCAGCGCAAGCTCCCCAGGCTGCTGGAGCAGATGAGCATGCACAAGGTCCAGCCCGACACCGCGCTCTACAACTCGGTGCTCGACGCCTACAGGAGGGCCTCCGACATCAGCAGCATCGACCGCTACTTCGCCGCCATGCAGGAGCAGGGATGCAAGCCCGACCACCTCACCTACAACATCCTCATCCAGGCCTACCGCTCTCAGGGCCTCACGGACAAGGCCGACGTCATGGCTGTAGAACAGGAGAAGCTGAAGCAGCGGGACTCGATCAACAGGTTGTTTGTTTCGTCGCTTGAGCCCCCAAAGACTAGATCCAGGCTCGACGCAAACGAGCTGAGAAGTTCTTCCCCAGCCATTTGTTTCAATGCGGACAGAGAGGGCACCCAGGTCATACGTACACACAAAAGGCCATAGTAATCTTGTCACGAGCTCGGCACTCGACATGGAAGACGCAGTGTTCATAGTCGTTATAAAAACTATATAGATTTGGCGGTTGAAAAGCCTCGTCACTTTCTTAAGAGGAGTCCCCAATCCGACTGCCTGCTGAGCCCTTCCTACCCAATGATCAAAGTTTCACAACATCTCGCTGCCATAAGGGTCGTTGTCATTTTTGTGAACGTTGCTCTCAAGTCTTGGGCATGCCTGGACGACACTCTGACAATGCATTTCTTGGTCAGCCACCAAGGAGATAAGGTGCTTGCTGACGATCGAAGACGTTAGGTGTTTCTATTATTTCACAGGTGCCAAAATTGTGTTCCTCAAAAGCTTTTCGTTTGCTTTACCATTTGTCACCTGAAAGTGAAATGACGAGGAAATATATGACAAAGCCCGTAAGCAATATCACCCCGTAAATCAGGGCCTGGGAGCTCTGGACTGGTATCGAATGCTCCACATGACAACACCTCATCCGGTCTCTCTCCGTTTCCAGGACATGCTCCACATAGCTGCAGCATGGGAAACCAATCAGCACAATGCGAGGTTCCTTTCTGAATCCACTTACGCTTTGGCAAATGTCGTGTATTGCAGCAGGTGTGTGGAGTTTTCATGTGCCTCCAGCAGTTCATGATTGTACAAACGAGACGACACTTCCACCAGCTGCGTCTCCAGTTCCTGAGTCCACAAACAGTTACCAACAGCCAACACAAGATAGAGAGACGATCTTACATCCAGGTAAGTTTCCAGTTGCTGGACCAGCTCGTGCGGAATTGGCATGGGAAGGTTCGTAGTCTTCTTGTAGAATTTGTCGAGCCACAGTCCCGCAACAGACTGTGGCTTCTTACCCTTCACAGGCTCTCCAAGCGGAGTTTTCAGGAACTCATTTGTGAATGATTGGATGCTCTGGTAAAGGCCACGGTCAGGAAAAACAAACATCTGCTTTTGCAACCACACCTCTGTGGATTGTCTTATAGCTCGAAGAGCTTGGTCCACGCGTGCATAAATCGAATTCCGCTGTTTGAGAGAATCAGATTAAGGAAAATCTAACAAAGACCACACCACGTACCAACGCCGTGTCAGTTTGTAAGCTGCTAATCTTTGCTGCGTTAGAGAAGGGACCAAACGGATGATGACCGGAGCCCCAGAGCCAGTTTACCAGGGGACGCTGATGAACATGCGATGCTCTTTCATATGGTGCCACCAAGCCTCCCACCACGGCAGCCAGGCCAGCAATGATGTGTCTTTGAGGATTCTTTGGAACTGCTTGTATCCTCGCCGTCTCCGAAACATAGCTACCACATAGCCACATTATTAGTCACAAGAGAGCATATAAGATAAACGTAGCAGACCTTAAATTGAAGGGATCGCTTTCGTGCTGTACAACAAAAACAGCGTCGTTACTTGTCCAGACAGCACTCTCTCCTTGCATGAGAAGTTCCTCATCGAGTCCAGCCAGTGACAACACAAATCTGCAAGAAAATACATTTTAGAATGGTGCAGGAGCCCTGAGAAGAAAAACTTACACGGGGACAACTCTGGTTCCGTAGGCTTTCTTCACATTTGGAGGATTTTGCAATCTGGATTCCGCTCTCTTATTTTCCTTGTCTTGCTTGCTGCCGTACCTCCAATCCTGTCGAGAAGAGGATTTGATCACTGGGTCGCGTTTGAACTGCTCCTCATCTGGCTCCCCCTCCTGCAACATAAATCGTTCAGAAAATTTCATTGCATTCAAAAAGAGCAACCATGTAATTGAAGAACTTATTTGAGAGGGACGGCTCCGCAAGTTCAAGAAGCCCCGACGCTAGAAGATCGGCAGAAAGTTTGAACTCCTGCATCAAACTGTACCAGTAAGATGATTATTTGCGACATCGATAACAAGTGTACCTCTCTTAGAACAGAACCATCAAGGTAAGGTTTGATCCGAACTTGATACCGTCCGTCCTTCGTAGTCTCATGAGTTGACAAACTGCGATATGCTTTCCTAACAGCAATTGCCAGCTTCTCGTGGTCATGCAAGTTATGTGTTCCTCCAACGACAACTACCTCCTGCCCCGGCTCGGCCAGTTTCTTGACCTGACAAAAGTCCGGTAAAGAATGAGCAATACATGTCTCAATGATGCAGATACCTCTCTCTCGATTGCATCCATGTCTATTGTATCGTTTCCCCCGGAATGAAGTAGAGTATTTTGTTGATGGTTTCTCAAGATTATGACAGAAACCAGAAGCCTCTGCGCAACGTCCACTGTTTCATACCTGCTCGAACCACTCGTTAGCCGATCGTAACGTAACAATAGATGCTCACCTGACATCTGGTGATATCAAGTACTCAACAGCAGATGCGACAAGCGCAACAAGTTGGCCGGAGAAAACACTGTGTGCTTTTGTGTCTTGGATCGGAGACCGTCCTCGAGGAAAGAAGACGCTTTGCAACCTCGGAACCGTGTTGTATCCTACACTGCCTTCGTTCGAGTCCACTTTTCCATATGCACAAGGCCCAGCCGCAATATCAATCACGGCATACCTGAAAGAGAGAAGTAAGCTGGACATATGCATTCTACAGTAAGCACTAGCACCTTCCAGAGCTCAGCCAAAGCTGCGTCGACGCACCTTCGTTGTAGCGATACTTGTAAATATAGCCACCTTCTTGTTCCCTCAGCTGTTCAGGTGTGAGCCCTTCAATTTTCGAGGACAGTGTTGCATTGTTGACGTCGACAGGAATTCGAGGGTCCATACGCACCTGCCAAACCATGTCAGGATTCAACAGCTATAAGTAGCAAATGGCCAGACCTTGTCGAGGTTAAGGATAAAAATCGCAACCGGCAAGTGTTTGTGCGTGCTCGTGTTGGCATCCGGTTCTACACCAAACAGGTAGCTGTACAAGCGGTCGAAAAGCGGCTCAACTTTGGTGGCCTCCACCTCGTACAACGGAAGCACTTTGCCAAACTCTGTCTAAACCCCAGACATAAGTTGAGAGGACAAAGATGCCAGTAAGAACAACCTCTCTTGCAGTCGAATTGGTAGCCACCATGGCCCCCTTGAGATGGCTCTCGACAGTCAGAAGTTCGATCTGGCCGGCCTGTAACACACGAAGAATTGGCCCAAAAGGAAAGTTTTGATGCTCGGCTTTACCGGCATGACGTTGTAGTAGAGCTTGTGCTCAATGTCGAGACGCTGGCCAGTCTCCAAGCAGGCAGGCCTGTGGCGGGGAATGCTCTGGTTGAGCACATTCTTGAGCTTGACCGCATCCAGCGTGTAGCGGTAGCCACCATCGCCATTAAATCCCAGGAGCACCACATTTACTTCCAGAGGGACCTCGAAAGGGACCTGGCGCCATGAATCAGCCCGTCTGATCGATCGAATCAGGGCGTAGCTAGCTCACCTCGGCACGAGAATGCAGGAAGCGATGAACATCGAATCGGATGCTGTCGCTGATGTCCTGGAAGGCACCGTGGTGGAATTGAGGCGCGGAAGCGTGGCGGAACACATCGCTGTAAGCTGCCAGCGCCTGGATTACTCCGGTGAGCGCCAGGAGGAGCAGCAGGACGAGCCCCATTTTCCCGGATCGATAAACCCTAGGCCCTTATTTAGGGTAACCAGGAAGGGAGGAGGAGACCTAGATCTAGGCTCATGGCTGCCGGAGGGGACGAGCACTGGGAGAGAGACGCCGTGTTCAGGCGGCTCAAGGCCAAGGCGGACAACAAGGTACTAAGAGCGCCATACCCCTAGCTTAGCTTTGTTTCCTTTGTTTTAATGCAGGTGTGCTTCGATTGCTCCACGAAGAACCCAACCTGGGCATCAATCCCCTATGGAGTCTTCATCTGCCTCGACTGCTCGGCTCTCCACCGCAGCCTGGGCGTTCACATAAGCTTCGTGAGGTGAGCGATCGAGTGAGAGAGTGACTTGGTCTCGATTCTTGTGACGAATGAGAATGGCTCTTCACAGGTCCACCAATCTCGACTCGTGGACACAAGATCAGCTCAAGCTGATGCTTGTTGGTGGGAATGGTCGTGCGCATGCCTTTTTCAAGCAGCACGGCTGGACCGACGGTGGCAAGATCGAGTCCAAGTATACGTCCAGAGCGGCCGAGCTTTACAGGCAAGTTCTCGCCAAGGATTCCGCCAAACTTGACACAGTTGCGAGCCCCAAGCTCGGGCCTGCCTCACCGCACTTTGACGACGAGCACGTCGAGAACGATGCCGCGCTGCTACCCCCTGTTGTCACTCCTGCTGTCGCCCTTCCCAAAAAGGCCTCCGCTGTTGGCTTGAGAAAGATTGGAGGTGGAAAGTCGGGTGGAGGCCTGGGTGTGAAGAAGCTCACCACCAAGGTTGTGTTTTTCAACTTCCCTTGGCCGCTCGCTCGTATACTGAAAACTCTCATTCCTGTTTGCAGACTAGTGACAACCTGTATGATCAGAAGCCGGCAGAGACAGAGACAGCAGCAGCAGCAGCGGGGGCGGCGCCTTCTCCTGCGGTTGTGCAAGCTGCTCCTGCTCCTAGATCTCGTTTCGTCTATGCCGACGATGACGATCCACCTGCCGTGTCTACAAACTCCGGGCACGTGGTGGCACCGTCCAGTAAAACCGACTTTTTCTCCGACTTCAGTTCCGAGGCGAAGAGTTCCTCCCGTTCCAGTCGATCTAAGACCCAGGTACCGATCTGAGTAGCAGCGCCATAGTAGATTGATCTTATCACACTCCTCGTTTACAGGTTGAAGAAAGTGACGAGGCTCAACGAAAGTTTTCAAATGCCAAGTCTATATCCTCTGCGCAGTTTTTCAACGATCCCAGCAAGGTTGCGGATGTAGATAACAACGTGCGCCTGCAAAAATTCGCGGTAAGCTTGTTTTTGACACGGACTAGTTATCCCTTGAACACTGGCTTGCAGAACTCGTCGTCCATATCAAGTGCCGACTTCTTCGACCGAAACGAAGGCAACTCCGTTGCATCGTCCGCAGATCTGACCGCATCGGAACTCGTGACAAGATTATCAATGCAGGTGCGTGAGAGAGGCTTGGTTGTGTATATATATATATATATAAGTGACCTGGGTGATTTTTCAGGCCTCTCAGGACATGTCCGCGTTGAAACAAATGGCTGGCCAGACTGGGAAGAAGCTCAGCTCGTTTGCGTCGAGCCTTCTTGCAGACATACAAGACCGGATCCGGTAAGAACTGTGTGTAGCAGATGAATAGAAACGGAGAGAATAATTGTCTGTTGTCTGTCACTCTGTTTTAAAGGTTCCCGAGTGAAGTCTCTCCGGGGTTGCCTGGATAGTGCATCTAGACTTAGGGGTACCGTTGCCGCCTCAGCCGACAGCCAAGCGTCGAGTTGAGTCAACCTTGTGCATGCTCATGCGCTGCATGCAAACTCGTAAAAGTCGACGAGCGTGGTGTTTGTTGTAACCTGTGGCACGATGTCGTGTGTCTTGTGCCGTTGCCGGGCGTGGTCAGCCTTTGGAGCGATGCTAAAGCCTTGGAGGAGCCATGAGGAAATCAACTAGTCCAGAAGGCTCCAACTGTCACCTGAGCAGGATACCAACTGTGAAACGAACAAGAGAGTGAACCTTAGGCCAACCTCCCAACCCTTAAGGCGCTATGGCCTTAAATCCCACAGGCCATGGAATATTCTTGGAATATTCTTGTGGTTCTTGTTATTATCCCCTCCCTCATGACCCAGCCACATACACTAGTTTCGAGAAGTTAAATGAGCCTCACATGAAAGGAGTCCAAGGCAAGATGGCCATGGAGAAAAGATGTGCAAACAGCAACACCAATGTCACGACAAATGGCCACGAAAGAAAGAAAGCAATATGGCTTTCTCACATGACAATACGGTCATAGAAACAAGAGAATGAGAATAGAACAAATAGCTCAAATCATATAGTAATATGGTTATAAAACTCAATTCTCCCCTTTCTCAGGAATGTCATCCAAATTATAACCAAAACTCGGAAACACTCTTTTCACGTCATCCTCATGTGAGACACAAAATCCCTAGGCCCCAAAGTGGAGCCGGAAGGGTGCCATGTGGTAGTGGCTGAAGTGAGAGCCAAACGAGCGTAACACGTTTGGACCAAAAGCTCCGACTTAAAAAGTCAAGAGCGGGAGTGGAACTCCCAAAGAAGTGCTCGAGGAACGAGCACGAAGCGAGCAAAAAGCAAGGCTCCAAAAAGGGACCCAAAAGGACCAACACATGACACGTGGAAGTGTCCGAGATGGACTCGAGTTGGAGTCCGAAGTGGAGTCCGAGATGGACTTGAGTTGGAGTCCGAAGTGGAGTCCGAGATGGACCCGAGTTGGAGTCCGAAATGGAGTCCGAGATGGACCCGAGATGGACCCGAAATGGAGTCCGAGATGGAGTCTGAGGTGGACCCGAGATGGACCCGAAATGGAGTCCGAGATGGAGTCCGAGGTGGACCCGAGATGGACCCGAAATGGAGTCCGAGATGGAGTCCGAGATGGACCCGAGATGGAGTCCGAGATGTACCCGAAATGGAGTCCGAGGTGGACCCGAGATGGACCCGAAATGGAGTCCGAGATGGACCCGAGATGGACCCGAGATGGAGTCCGAGATGGACCCGAGATGGAGTCCGAGATGGAGTCCGAGATGGAGTCCGAGATGGAGTCCGAAGTCGAGACCGAGACCGGGACCGAGATCGGGACCGAAGTCGAGACCGAGACCGGGACCGAGATCGGGACCGAGATCGGGACCGAGAACGAGACCGAGGCCGAGGCCGAGACCGAGCCCGAGCCCGAGTCCGAGTCCGAGTCCGAGTCCGAGTCCGAGTTCGAGTCTGAGAGGGTGAAAGCCCAAAGCGTTCGTCTCTTAGACCCTGGGGGGTTTGGTGAGCTCCAAAAGTATAGTAGGGGGAGGACTGCAGTGGAGCCAGTTTGGCCAGGAAAGGCCAGTTTGGCCCAGGAAGGCCAGACCCAGTGTTGGGTGATGAACTGACCACTGGGAAGTCCAAGACTAGAGTGAATACGGACCGACAAGAGGGGTAGCTTAGTGAAGTGTTCAAGAGCCGGCTCTAGTTCCCCCGGGAGATCGATTGGCCGATGCTCCCAGTCCAAGTGTGGGTGGCACTACCTACTTGGATACCAGGCGTGGCTCAACAGAACCTCGCTCTAAGCCCATGGCTAGAGCACCTAAAGGCGATAGGTGGGGAGAGTACCCAGGTGGCTCGCGTAAGGCCACGGTGTTCCGAAATGTCGTCCCAAAGGCCCAGACTATGGAAAGGAAGAGGAGCAGTCCTCTGGGGTAGTGACCAAGGACACAGTCGTGTGGTGAGGAAGTCCCAAAGGACCATGGGACTTAGTGGTCGGGCTTGTGGGCCTCGATTCAGTGGCAGTGTTGGTAAACACGGCCAGGGGCAGAAAGGGACTTGGTAGGAACTGACAAAGGGACTTTGGGGAAGGCGATTTCCCAGGTCTGTGGGCATCCTAAGGATGCTAAGGAGTGGATCTAGGATGACCACTCGTGAACAGATGGCCCAGTCTTGGAGAGACGGGATGATGATGCAAGTGGTATTGAACCACTAGTGCAGCAAAGGTGAATGGGCATGGCCTTAGCGTAACGGGCCGAGATGTCAGTGGTACCTTGGGTGTCGGTCTTCGGACCGGACACGTGGAGCACTTGGACCAGGTGCAAGTGTTGAGTGGCATGGATGCCATTCTTGGGGCTAGCAAGTCCCAAGTCCTGAATTGGACTAATGGAGGTTGCGAATGAGACTCCTCCAAATGGTCGGAGGTGTGGTTAAGTGACTAAAGTAGAATGGAAAATTTAGTCGCTTACAACTTGGTATCGGAGCTGTTCCTTAGTCCGACTTTTATTGGTGCTCAAGTATATCACCACTAGTGTTGGCATCGGAAGGTCCAAGGAGTGGGCCTATCCTTGAGGAGCAGCAAGTCGGGAAGACATGGCTCTCCATTACAGTTCATGTGTGAACTTGTAGACGAGGTGGTGGATAGAAAAGGGCCAATAATGGAACGACTTTGGGATCTTGGGAACAGTGCAAGGTTTTCCTCATTGAGTTGAGGATGTGATCCGGATGAGCATTTGTCTCAGCAAATTGGCCAAGGTTGTTGTGGTAAACAACTAAAGTTGGGATCACGGGAAAGATAGAGACTCCAAAACAATAAAGGAGTCACAAGATTATCCTCATATAGTTGAGGTTGGTGCTCATGAATGTGAGACCAAAGGTAATGACCGTGGAAGGTCAAATACGGAAGAGGACTCAAGTCCTTGAAATGGTAGCCGGGGCTACCTTTAATAAATGATGGAACAACCTAAGGAGTTGGGGGGTGTACTTAGAGATGAGTGGTATTCTCATCACATGAACAAGTAGTCCTAAGGGGCAAAAGTTGCCCCCAGAGAACAAAATCAAGTGTCGGAGTAACACTTGTGAAAATAGTCCTTTTGAGTAGGACAGGAATGCAAGAAGTGTATTCCAGTGAGCTAGTGCCTCACAAGTAGGACCTTACGGGTCTGTGGATTAACCAAGTCCAAAACTGCTGGATGACTCAAGTAGAGTCAAGGGATGGTCCTAAAAGGACTGATGGAAGCATTTGGACTAAGGTGTGTTGTACCCCACAAAGGATGGGGGGGGGGGAATCATAGGATCCAAGAATGAGAACAGAGGGTATCTCATCGATGGCAAAATGTGCCATGCTAAAGTTATGGGAAAGGTGTTCCCAGAAGAAAACAACTTTGACATAAAGTTGTGTGTGACCTCTATGGTGCAGTGCTAATGGATGGTTGGCATGAGAAAGAGCGGTGTTGGTCTTGGCAAAGACTTAGACACGAAGGGGAAATGTCATAGAGGTAGGCTCGTGGAGCCGATGGTGTGGAGACACCAAATGTGCCAAGGTGTGATACCTTGAGGCTATGTTGGTAGGTTCATAAGAACCCCTTGCCAAAGGAATCCCAATGGAAATGGGAATAGCATAGCCTAAGTTGCAGAGGATGCAGTTGGGGTGTGGTGACCCAGATAATGATGGAGGTGTGAAAGCACCAAGCAATGAGTTGTAGGACTTGACAACTATGAGGCAACTAAGCAAGAGGTGCAAAATAACTAGTTAAACGGGTAGAAGGTAGCTACCCAAGACGTCTTAATAGCATAAGGAAGTTGGATATACCCTTACGGGGGATAAGTTGCTTGTGTTGCGATATAGTAAGTCAATGTCATAAAAGGAAATACTCATTGTCAAGAAAGCCATCATTGGGACACCCGAACACTCTAGAACACCAGAAGGTGGTGTTTGATGTCGCGAGGGCAATGGATAAAGCCCAAGGGACTAAGTCCCTAGCGAATGATGGATAGAAGGTGCTATCCAAATGTCCAAGGTTGCGGAGACAGGAGAGGACTGTCTACCTGAGTTGGACAAAGCCAAAAATGGAATTTTGGCAAGGCTAGTGATGGGCATGTAAAGGCCCATAAGCAACAATGTAATCCCAGTGTGTGGGATTATAAGGTGAGCATACCCGGATCGAGGAACCACTCCCTAGGCTATTGGGTAGGTTCATCCCTAAGAATACTTGCTAAAGCGTGATAGAAAGTGCAAAGCTATCCTCCTGGTCTGGAGGAGAATGACCAAAGGAAAGGTGTGAAGCCAAAAAGCAAGAAGTAAGGGGATAGAACCGAACTATAGGAATCAAAGGGCATAACCAAGGTTGGTTATGCCAGCTGGGAGTGGAGAATCAAGTGGGGGCTTGAGGGTGTTGCCGCTAGCAACTGTGATGCCATGGAGAGTTTAAAATATGGAATTGTCCATGATAGACTATGTGGCATTTTGAAGGCTTGCAAAAAGGGAGGCCTTAGCAAGCTGAGGGACAGAGTTCCTTCAAGGTTCCCAAAGACGATTCTAGGTAGCTTAGTACCTAGAAAGGCCAAGTGTAAATGGTTCATGGAACGCGCGAAATCAGAGTGGCGCAGCAGAAGCGTGGTCTTGAAGCTTGCCATGAGGCAAGGCTATCAAGGTTAGGGAAGTAGTTCCCGAGTGTTCAAAGAGGGGGCTTTGAACGAAAGTCGATGGTCAAGGACTTTCACGCTTATGCAGGAACCATGTTACAGTGGTCGGAGGACTTGCCAAGCGAGATTGGCACGTCGGGGGAACAAATACCCTAGTTGAAGGTGATAACTTCAAAAAGGGTGGGCCATGGGGCCGAGCATGGAGGAGTCCATGCATGATCACAGACGTGTCAAGTGAGAGGACTTGGCAGTGTGGAGGAACTAGGTTCCTAAGTTGTGATCTGTAGCGCGCTTTAAAAATAAG